GTTCGAGGAGAGAGAAAGTGTTGCACGAGAGAGGAGAAATTACGTTGCTGGTGAAGCTCACTTTCTTGAGGTGATTCACCTTGCTGAGCATGTCAGAATTTTCTCAAAATTATCACTCTCTCAGTATTACGGAAAATTTGAAAATACTCGAAGTAATATTTTTCTGCCGTTTCTGTATTATTCTACGAGCAAAGTTGATACGTGTGTCGACAAAGACCAAGCACGATGGACTTTGCAGAAGGGGAATATGAAAAAACTAAATCGGTTAGCTTTCCTTACACGCATGAGAAGGTCGTTGTTGCTTTTACTGACTCACTAAAACCTACAATATTCACAGAACGAGATCATTTTATTCCTTTCACTTTTTTTTAAATCGGTTATGAAACCCTTCAGCTTGCGAATAGCAAAAGTTAAACGCAACTCCTTCATCAATTTCGAACCGAGTCGTCATCGTATTTCAGGGCTTTGCGCTGTGTCTATGGTCCCTGGTCGCGGAGGAGACGTCGGGAATCTACATCGAGCTCGTGTTCCTCGACGTTGCCCTCAACTTTGGCCAAGGATTCTTTGCCTTCGTCATGTTTGGTCTCGATGCCAGCCTCATCGTCGCTCCGTTCATCAAACGGTTGGGATCTGCTGCGTGTGGTGTCTCGAAAGTAGATGGATGAGAATTAGTCGAGTTTTTCCACGTATCATTATGAGAGGTGGAGGAAGCTGTGGTACTTATCCGCAGCAGATGAACCCGATGATGCTGATGTTGAAGAGGAAGGCGTTGAGCTCGTGGATGTAGTCCGCGGGCCGCACCTCCTTCAGGGTCACCATCTTCGCCGAGACGAACATCAGAGGGGCCGACAGGAACGTCCCCATCACCACCGCGCTCGCGATCTATCTTTGGCATGCGTTCGTCGTTTGGATTAAGTCGTGGCCCGAAGAAATCATCATCTCAAGAGAACAATTGGGTGGAGGAACAGGTCCACTTCCCATTTCTACCTTCCGCGATACGCTCATGCACGCATCACTCGGTCCATATTGCTTTTACCTTCCACATTTCTCTTCTCGGCCTTGGAGTGACGTTTTTCTGAATGAAATAATTCACCTCGTTCGATTCCAGCACGCAGTTCAGCTCTTTATTTCCACAATGACGATTCGATGCACTGAACCTTGTTCGAAAGCTCATTTCCCTTCAACCAGGGGAAAAACCAAAATGCAAATCATGCAACCACATGAAACCCTTTCGCGAAATCACTTCACAACCGAGATGACGACGATCACGTGTGGACTAGATGCATGGAAAGACAAGTGAATCTCATCGATGTTGTTCCTCTTGTGTGAGCAAGCGAAAATACACTCAACTCGAACCTGGAAGTCCAGTAAGCTAAAAATTTCCATCACACAATAGTACACGATTATAGGTTTTTTCAAAGTCCATAAACAGAAGATGGGGGTGGATTTGGCCAGTCGTACTAACTCGCTCATAATGGATTCACGATTTCACGACAGATCCTTGTGCAGATCCACATGACCAAGCTGAGAATGCACATTTCAGCAGAAGTCAGCAAAGACACATTTTTAAGCTCGGCCTTCAACGTTCCGGTCAAGGAATATTCCTGAGATGTTCAAATGAATCTGCAGATCTACTGCTTTGGCAGAAATGCAACAAACAGTGCGTAGAAAAACGTTTGGCATGCATGAGCAGTAGAAAAAAAAAGAAGTTATTTTGTGCTAACATTACTCGAGTAACAAATGCTGAAAGAGTTTCGAATACTCGCGTTTCCATAAAAAAAAAATACTCTTTGGCAATGTCTCTTCTGCTCAGGCGGAGCTCAACCGAATCAAAAACTAAATATACTGAATGATAAAATTCCATTCCAAACAACAATAGCAACATCACTCAAGCATCACCGGAACGATGAAATCATGAGACAAAAAAATAAGGGGGGGGGGGGGGGGTAGGCAAACAGCATCGTCACAGGGAACTGTGAGGTCGACAACTTAGTGGCAGGAACTCGTAATGATACGGCTGATCGTGGAAGTGGTGGAGACTCTCGATGTGTCGGATCACTCGTCCCCTGACTAGCATCCGGCCGTACTTCACGGCCTGCGATCGGTCTGGGGCCAGACCCACGATCACCAACCAATCCACCAACTCGTTTCCCAGGAACACCGACGTGTACTCCCTCTGACGGAACCTGTTAAAATGAGACGGTCTCGGTGGAATCTGCATGCAAACTCGCACGAGCTTCAGAACACGAGCACGAGATGCGGAAACGTCCCATCGATTCCCACGCATTTCGCCAAGTGCAAGGTCTTACAGCTTCGAACGGATCGAGGTCTCGCGTCGCAAAAATCTATCAACGAGAATCGACTCGGAACCCGAGCATACCTTCTGTCTCTCACGATGTCCTTGGAACACTTCTCCAGGTGATACTTGACGAACTGCTCGCACGTGGTCCGCGTCTCTGCCGGCAGATCTTCGTACGGAGGAAGCTTGAGGGTCTCCGAACCGTACCACAGCTTCCTCCACCTGTCACAACGAAACGAGGAAAAACTCGACAAATTCTCATCCGCCAACTTTGAAGACACCACACGCAGCAGATTCCAACCGTTTGATGAACGGAGCGACGATGAGCCTGGCATCGAGACCAAAGATGACGAACGCAAAGAACCCTTGGCCAAAGTTGAGGGCAACGTCGAGGAACACGAGCTCGATGTAGATTCCCGACGTCTCCTCCACGACCAGGGACCATAGACACAGCGCAAAGCCCTGAAATACGACGACGACTCGGTTCGTAATTCATCAAGGAGTTGTATTTAACTTTTGCTATTTGTAATTTTATAACAGATTTTTTAAAAAAGTGAAAGGGAAAAATGATATCGTTCTGAGAATATTCTAGGTTTTGGTGAGTCAGTAAATGTATCGGTTGTATGAAAAGCCAATTGTATCTGATTTTTTATATTCACCGTCGACGAAGTCGATCGAGCATGGCCTCTGCTGAAACACACGCATCAACTTCGGTCGTAGAAGAAAACAGAAACTGCAGACCGAGATTTTTTTCAAACGAGTTTTCCATAATACCGAGAGAGTGATAATCTCGAGAAAATTCAGACGTCCTCAGCAAGGCGAATCACCTCAAGAAAGCGAGCTTCACGAGCAACGTAATTTCTCCTCTCTCGTGCAACACTTTCTCTCTCCTCAAAG